TTAATTAATATTTACCACCTGCTCGTCATGCGCAGTTAACACTGTTCGTTGCGAGCTGCGTAATTAGTGTGGGGCGGGTGGAATATATGATAAATAATTACGTATGATATTATTATAAATGATTATGTTTTCACACAATGTTCTCTTTCAGATTCTTTCTCCTTCTTTTAAACTCACCGTTGCCCGGTCCCAAGTCCGGGATGTGAAAGAGTGAGGGGGAGAAGTCTAATGGATGGGTTAACATTCGTCGATACGCTTAAAGATAAGTATGCAAACAGGTCGGGACAGATATTCCTGTCTTCTTTATGTAACGCTCCTTTATTGTTGAGCGCTCTCTGTACACGTATGAACTATAATCGTATCCATAATCCATAATTTATGTGAGACGCTTTGTGTATTGTTCCCTGTTTGTTTATCTGCATGTGGCATCGTGCCATTCATGATCGAGAACATTCGAACTCATAGCAACCTTAATTAATATTTACCACCTGCTCGTCATGCGCAGTTAACACTGTTCGTTGCGAGCTGCGTAATTAGTGTGGGGCGGGTGGAATATATGATAAATAATTACGTATGATATTATTATAAATGATTATGTTTTCACACAATGTTCTCTTTCAGATTCTTTCTCCTTCTTTTAAACTCACCGTTGCCCGGTCCCAAGTCCGGGATGTGAAAGAGTGAGGGGGAGAAGTCTAATGGATGGGTTAACATTCGTCGATACGCTTAAAGATAAGTATGCAAACAGGTCGGGACAGATATTCCTGTCTTCTTTATGTAACGCTCCTTTATTGTTGAGCGCTCTCTGTACACGTATGAACTATAATCGTATCCATAATCCATAATTTATGTGAGACGCTTTGTGTATTGTTCCCTGTTTGTTTATCTGCATGTGGCATCGTGCCATTCATGATCGAGAACATTCGAACTCATAGCAACCTTAATTAATATTTACCACCTGCTCGTCATGCGCAGTTAACACTGTTCGTTGCGAGCTGCGTAATTAGTGTGGGGCGGGTGGAATATATGATAAATAATTACGTATGATATTATTATAAATGATTATGTTTTCACACAATGTTCTCTTTCAGATTCTTTCTCCTTCTTTTAAACTCACCGTTGCCCGGTCCCAAGTCCGGGATGTGAAAGAGTGAGGGGGAGAAGTCTAATGGATGGGTTAACATTCGTCGATACGCTTAAAGATAAGTATGCAAACAGGTCGGGACAGATATTCCTGTCTTCTTTATATATATATATATATATATATATATATATATGGCTGTTCTATTAACTTTAAAATACTCAATAATTCATAAACCTTGCGGCAAATCATGTCAGTCATAATACTGGTATGTCACGTGTTGTGACTTTATATCTGATAAAGCATGTGGCATTATACAATTGTTCATCCTCATTATTATTATTATTATTATTATTATTATTATTATTATTATTAAGTCTTTATTAAACATAGCCACAACAGACGTGTGACTTTACATTTAAAATTCTCATATACAAGGTTCCAAAAAAAGAAAAAAAGAAATAAATTATTATTATGTATCTAAGTTAATTATTCTTAGGTAGAATTCTTAAAAAGACTAAGACTAAGTTATTATTATGTATCTAAGTTAATTATTTTAGCTAAAATTATTAAAAAGACACCTATTTAAAAACGACCGTTTGAATCTTTCTGTTTTAACCTTAGGTAATATGAAATCGTGTTCGCGTTCTCTTAACGGTCTTTGTCTTTTAGGAGGAAGTAGTTCGTATAAAGGGTGGTCTGGGTTGCTACATATTTTTTCAAATAAACTCATGTCTCTTTCTTTAATCACATCAATTATCTGAACACTTTTTGTTGTGTATCCATATCTGTATGCTCGCCTAAGAAATTTATCAATCCGTTCCAGGTACTTCTTTTCAAGTGCAGAACCCCATACTTCGATTTCATAAGAAAATAAAGACATAATAAGTGCATCAAGATGTGCATTCGACTACTAGCTTTAGATATCAAATTATTAACTTGAAGGTCCCAACAATTTGGATCATTCTGCAGTGTGGTTCCCAATAGTTTCAGCCAAGTCTTGCGTTCGATACCCGTTATTGGTTCTGGTAAAGGATTTGTTGATTTGCCACTTACAACCATTTCCCATGTTTTATCTAGATTTAATGACATTCTGTTTGTTTCCGTCCATTTTTCAATATTGTCTACCTCAGCTAGTGCGGAGTCATAATTATTTTTCACTGGAGCGCTAACAGTCATATCATCTGCAAATTTGACTAGTATGTTGTTATTTGGATCTTTGACTGTTAGATCATTTATCATTAAGGAAAATAGAAATGGTCCAAGAACTGTGCCTTGCGGTACTCCTTTGTTTATGTCTACATAATTTGTTTCTATTCCGTTTACTATTACTCTTTGTCTCCTATCAGTCAAAAAATTTCTAATCCAATTTATTACATATGGATTAATGTTGGTTTTTCCTAGCTTCTTGCAAATGATGTTGTGAGAAACGGAATCAAAGGCTTTCTTGAGATCGAATGAAATCACCCTGACATGATCAACATCACCATCCAGCCAATTTAGCCATTTATGGTGACACATAATAAGAGCATCAGTTGCGCTGGTACCTTCCTTATATGCGAATTGGTCAGATTTTATTAATTGTTTTAGTTCTGATGAGATCTCTTTTTTAAACACTATTCTTTCGAACAATCTCATTATTACGTTCGTAAGAGATATAGGCCTTAATTGTGTACATTCTATAAGGGGACTTTCCTTAGGTATTGGATTAAGATTGGCTAATTTCCATAGGAGGGGAACACGTTGCTGTTCCAATGACATGTTAAATATCTTTGTCACGCCTGTCAAAAATGCATCCAAAAGCGCCAATATGCGATACGCGGGGGCAGCGGTTTTCGTTGCAAAAGTATCCAAAACATGCAAGTTACATGAAGTATACAGAGCGAAACTTTCAAAATGGCGGGCGAACAGAGTGGAAAATTTAGGACTATTCACCCGATTAGCGCGTTTGACGCCGGCTGACAGCCGGAAATTTTGTCTCCGATTGCTCGGCTGCCAGCCGGGCTGTACTATAGTATACTATTCGTTCAAAAAATGCGCGCATTTTGGAGACTGGTTCTAGAATGTTTCGTAAGCAGAAAACCACCAAAATTACATTCAATTTTCCGAAAATCATCGAAATGCATCTAAATTCATCTTCCCAATGCATATAGCTAACTATGCGACAGGTAAATAAACGAGAAAAAAAAACAATTTCGGCAAAAAGAAAAATTCAAATTCGTTTGCGCGCATTCCGGGACCGAACTCACGACCTTCAGCACACACGCTGAGTCTTGTCCCTCTGCGCCACCACGTCTTACACGGAAAATATGTTAATTTATTGTATATATACAGGTTATTCTTAGCCAGCGCGATTAAAGATTGCGTAAATAGTACACCATCGTACACGGCCAAGGGTACAGTAGCAGCCGAGCCGTATCTACACTTTAATACAATACTTACAATACATCGCGGCATAGATCACGGCTTCCAGCCGGGGTTATTTAACTGTAATACAATACTACCATGCAATACGAGTGTCAGCCATGCCTGTCGGTAGTATACTGTAGTATACTACGATACTTCACGGCTACCAGCCGACAATACGGCTATCAGCCGGGCCTGTCTGTAGTATACTATAGTATACTACAATACATCACGGCTACCAGCCGGGGTTATTTAACTGTAATAAAATACTACAATGCAATACGAGTGTCAGCCGCGGAGCCTGTCGGTAGTATACTGTAGTATACTACAACACATCACGGCTACCAGCCGGGGTTATTTAACTGTAATAAAATACTACAATGCAATACGAGTGTCAGCCGAACCTGTCGGTAGTATACTATAGTATACTACAATACATCGCGGCTACCAGCCGGCAATACGGCTATCAGCCGGGCCTGTCTGTAATATACTCAGGGGCGCACATTAGGGGGTGTGTGGGTTTTGTGAAATATATCTAAAAAGTCGGTCCCGAAACCTGTATGGGACGAAAAAAAGTCGGTCCGGCTAAAATCTGAAAGACATCATTTTGTGTCGAAAAAAGAAATAGGTGGACATTTTGGAAATGGAATCTAACAAAATTAGGCGACTTTTTGTGGTTGTAACTTTTCTTCCAACTTCGCCCTAAAATACGTGAAATAGCGTTCTAATGAACCTAGAAATTCAAAATTTTTCTCGCGCCTTCGGCGCTCGCACCCGAAATCCATAAAAAATTTTGGCCCCCTGAAAGTTTAGAGCAGAAGTTCTGAAAAACTAAACGTTTATTTAAACTCTTGGAATACTATCCCTGACCCTGTCTATGAGTCCATCCGCTGTCTACGTTATAATAAATCGAAGCGAGGTTACCGAGGTATGTTGCAGTGTATAGCGTTTATACACATAATTTTAGACAGCCGATTACATCCGCATCGAGTAAACACGCAGCTTTTCGAGTTCGAATCTTACATTGATTAAGACTGCCATTCGTTCAGTGATGAAAGAAAGAAGGCTAAGGGATCTAATCACTCTTGGATGTGAAAAGGATCTCACGGATACAATATAATGGACCCAGACACTGTTGTTGATCGTTGGGCCGAGCTGCCAAAACAGAACGCCTTATTTGTGTGAAGTAATTCCGATTGTCATTTTTCGATCAAATAGGCTGTGCAAGTGAACTATTTAAAAACTGATTTGACTGCCTGAAATCTATTGCTAATTGCTATAACTTTCTAAACAATTTGAGTTGTCAGATATTTAATACTCTTAGTTGAATATCATGTGGGCACACACTATAGATTTATTTTGAACCATTATTGTTTATAGTTGAGCTCTTGACTATAATAATGTACTATTCTTTAATAATACTGTGGGCTTGTGGCTAATATATTGGCTATCAATTCAAATTAGAACAATAGGTTAATTTCTAACGGTCTACTTTTTGACACCCCTGTATACTACTGTTTTTTTACATAGTTACTCGACTTCGTGCAATAACCACAGGGCCGTAGCATGTCATGCAGACCTTTATCAATTAATCTGTGACAAACTGCAAAGAATGAAGGTATTACCATGGATAATAAAGTACATGTTATTTTACAATCCATAGTATTACCCACACTTTCCTGCAACTTATTCAACATATAATAGTTATTAAATACGCCTTCGGCCATTTAGTACTACTAAATTGTAAATTTCGACATACTAAAACGCTTTTTTCTGACTATCAGAATT